GAGATCAGAGTTCATTTTTCGTTCCTATGAGCTCAGAGTTTTAAACATTCTGGTCAGCTATCAGGCCGGCGTGTCCTTCTGCAGTGCTTGAATGACACCTAGCAAGCAATTTGCTAATGATTATATTTTGTTTTTTGTAGACTGTGCCTCCCCCCCAATACCCCCCACCACCCCACAAGAGTGAAATTCTAGATTCGACCCACCCGCAAATGTGTTGTGCCATCCAAAAATGACAGTCCTGGTGCCACTACTGGCTCCGAGGCTACCAACCACCAACCACTGCTTTTTCGCAATTAGCATAGTGCTAACTTCATAAATCACACACTCGGCTTAAACCGTGTGGATTTGTTCAGGAATCTCTAACAGATTTGTTTGACGTCTATAAACACGGACAAACAGACAAAATTCAGGACTCAAGATGGCTGCCGCTGGCGTTTACAGCTATGCGACGTACGTGTTGTGCAAAACACACAAAAGCTAAGCTAAAAAGGGACTGAAACTCTTACTCTGCGAAGTTTGACAAGTATGGATCTGGACCTGGAGCAGTCCAGACTCGTGGAGAGAACATGTCCAGGGTGAAGCCCTCTCTCTGGGTGTGGGAAGGCAGGACAGAGGGGTGCGTCTGGAGGCCAGCTGGATCACCGCATCACCCCATCTCTGCTCTAATCAGACCGTTTAGTCTGCGTGGGTGTGTATGTGTATCACTTTTCAAAGCACAATGGAGTCAGTAGACCGTGAAGCAAATCCCAAAAGGCTGTCTGAATGAGTCACACAAACGCTGGGGGTGACCCCCACCCACTCAACACCCCCACCCCTGAACCCCTAATCCCGTTAACCCTTCACTGGGTGCCATTAGCCCAGACCCGAGAGAGAAGATTAGCCAAAGACGGCTGGTCTACTGCGACTCTTTACTTCATTAAACAAAGACCAGAGCTGGCCAGAGGCCAGGAGGCCACTGTATATTACGATAAAACAATGACATAATCAGTAGAGCTCGACTGAAGTATCACTTCTATAATAAAAGGGGACTAATTTCAACATAATTCAGCAGTTGAGATGTGAAATGGTTCAACGTGGAGAAGCTTACGACTCTTTACAGTGCTGGTGATCATGGGATCGTCACGAATACAACACAACTGCAGACATTTTATTCATTAGCCATAATAACACAGCCAGTTTGCTTGTTTTCTAGCAGTTAATTATTGATTAATAAGGTTTAGGATGTTACTAGAATGGAAATATAAGGCTGGCTTTACAGAGTGAAACTTTCGTGCAACTTTAGTTGCTTGAAACCTACATGAAACCAAATTGCACTCGAGTTGCATGATGTAAAGCATCCTGCAGCTCATTTGAAACTCAGCCGCAACAGTTGCAAGCGTCTTCATTTTGTGGAGCAAACTTCATGAAACAGCCAATGAAAACGCTGATAACGCACCATGTGATCACGTTGCACGACTTCAATCAAAGTGATTGATTTCAACGGATCAATACACACAAAAAAAAAAGAAGGTGGTGTACTGGTGTATGACTGACTTCTGATCAACTTTATCCAAGGTTGGATGTGTTTCATTTTGTCAGTTTCTGGATCCATGACAACAAAAAATTTTCTCGAAGCTAACATTTCTGTAGCTACCTGCTTTAATTAGCTAGCTAATGCTAACAGCTGAAAAAAATATAGAAACAAATAGGAATCGTCGCTAATTATTTCATATAAGAAAAATGGTAGATCTTTAAAAATAGGAGCTGTTAATTTGTCTAACTAGCACAGTAACTGAACGCGTCGCATGCAATTGTGATTGTCTTTGAATTGCGTCATGCAACTGTCAAGTTGCACGGAAATGAAGCTGCACGCAACTCACAACATGCAACTAGTTGCAAGGATGTTTCACAGTGTAAAGCCAGCCTAAGAAGTTTAAACTTTCAGAAATAAGGCAGAGTAAAAGGTTATTAAACAACAGAGAAAATCTTAATTAAAATACTGTTTTGCTGATTAACTTTCTATAAAGCAAAGAGAAACTCTAGACAAGAATTTTCCAATTAACACACATCAGATATGCTTTTGGTTGCTAAGTCATCTCCAGACGCTCACAGACAATTAAATGCAATTAAATTCAAGGCTAGGATTAATATCTGATTTAAAAACGAGGGGTACGTTCAATATTTTTCCGCAAACACACCCAACCACAAAAGCCTGAGCTCTGCAAACTCCTTTTTGTGGTAAGTTTGCACTCGCTGAACTGAGAAGACTCCATTAACATTACAGTCAGCTCCCTTTGCACACTTAGGGTCAGAGAGACAGCAGAGCTGAACTATTTCTATATGCTGAGTTACATAAGCAGTGTGGGCAGGCGGACTGGGAGCAGAGCTGCAGTGAGAATCAGCCCTTTTCACAGCAAAATAACGAGATCATTATTCAGAAAAATATTCCTGCATTCTTTATGCATTTGTAAATATCAAAATGCCACGCTGGCGCTATCATCGGTCAGAATGGAGGCCAGCCAACACTCCCAAGAGGCACAACTGGTCAAGAAGGTTACATCTTACTGCTGGAAATGGAGCTCATCCCAGCCAATCACAGGCTGCAATAACACTGTCAATTTGGAGAAACCCAGCTTTTCACAATGTTTTTATGTTTTAATAGAAATTATTTATCTATTTATTTATATTATTTTTTTGGACAGTTTGCAATAATATAACACACTAAAGCCTAAGCAGGTTTATTTAGAGGAAAACAATATCATACATAAATATTAGTGACTGTGCTGCCTGGGAGTAAAGCCAAAGCCCACACATTGTATCCCCTTGTTGTGATGTCAGCACTCAAACCTTTTGGCTGTTTAAAGCATATTTACACCAGAAGAGTTTCAATATGAGCTTTTAACACTTTTGGAAAAGAAAACTGTCAAATCATTATTTAGACAAAACCGGCTCTTCATATCAAGGAAGATACTTATTTACATGCACTCAATAATCCAATCATAATCGGATTTCTGCGGTTATGTGATTACTGAAATGGTCATGTAAACAGCACACTCCGATTTCTTAGACTGGAGTAAGGTCTATAAATCCTGATAAAATCTGATAGAGGCTGGATTTTAGCTCAGTAATCAGATTTCTCAGTGCATGAAACTCTTACTCTGATTTCTTTCGGATTTCTCAGTCTGCACGTGAGCAAAAAACAGATGGCGGTACCAGAAATTAGCGAGCAGCGTCGCCGCGAGACGCAGCAAAACACTTTTGGAACGACGTTGAAACCAAATACATGCTTGAAGAAATGAAGGATTTAAATATTCTTCATCTTCTAGATGATGTGTGTTCATATTTTCAGGTAAAGTGACGAAATGTTTTTAAAAAAGCCGCGGAATGAAGTTTGAGTTTTACGTTATGTTTACATCACGTCTTCTTCTGTGAGTTTATTAGCAGGTTGTATAGCAGAAATCTGATTACTGTCTGACTCATGTAGACCTGGAGTTTCCCCATTATCTGATTACTCCAGTGCATGTAAACGAGTTGATAGGATTACTAACAAAATCTGACTTTCTGCAATTATCAGATTATTAAGTGCATGTAAATGTACTCAATGATCATGAAGCTGAATGTCAAATATAAATATACTCAATGCATTATCACAGAGCTGCTTTGTGATAATTTAATCTTACTCACCCAGAGTACTATAGAATTAGAAATGGGAGAGTATATAAAATACTACTAAAAAAAAAAAAAAACAGAGAACAATGATTAGTAAATTCTGTTGTACTGTACTGTACTGTACATGAATTTCAGAATTTCTTAGTACTTGGCATGTCACCATTTAGGTTAAATGACAGCATGAGCTGTCAGACATCTGAAACTAATTTAAATAGTGACCTAGAAACCTAGTGCAGAATTTTGAATATTTGTTCTTCATTTTACTTTATCATAACTATTTTTGTTTTACATTTTTCAACACTGTGTCCACTCACTGTCCACTCTATTAGACACTCCTACATTGTCAGTCCACCTTGTAGATGTAAAGTCAGAGACGATAGCTCATCTGCTGCTGCACAGTTTGTGTTGGTCATCCTCTAGTCCTTCATCAGTGGTCACAGGACGCTGCTCACAGGACGCTGTTGGCTGGATATTTTTGGTTGGTGGACTATTCTCAGTCCAGCAGTGACACTGAGGTGTTTAAAAACTCCAGCAGCACTGCTGTGTCTGATCCACTCAGACCAGCGCAACACACACTAACACACAACCACCACGTCAGTGTTAAAAGGGGGCTAACAAAGTATACAGAGAAACAGATGGACTACAGTCTGTAACTGTAGAACTACAAAGTGCACCTATATAGTAAGTGGAGCTGATAAAATGGACAATGAGCGTAGAAACAAGGAGGTGGTCATAATGTTATGTCTGATCGGTGTACATTCCTCCGAAATGTGTATACATTTTTCAGTGTTAATGCTGCTTTTACAGATGTGCAAGTTACCCACTGATATACCCCCCCATACCATAACAGACCCTGGATTTTGAACTTTACACCGGTAACAATCTGGATAGGCCGTCTTATTTGTCCCAGATAACATTATTTGTTATTATCATAAACAAACTACAGGAGTTACTTAAAAAGGGCACCAATTTCAGAATGGGCGTATACTTACAAAACTCAGGTCATAAGATAAAACATTAAAAATCCTGTTTTTTTGTACTGATTTGATGTATAAAGTGGATTTACAAATCATGGCCTCTTGTTTTCATTTGCATTTCACACACTATCCCAACTCAAATTGAGTTCTGTATATTCCACATCTGGAACAGAGCGAATCTGAGTAAAGGGTTATTTGAATTCAGCTCAGTTTCCCTGAAAAGAATCAAATTAAAAAGATGTATTGAGGGTTTGAATATAAACCTGCAGATCCTCTGGAGTGTTTGCAGTAGAAGTATTGAGCTGAGTGTACACATAAGTCCCACAGTGAGGCCTTTGAAAGTGAAGGGGCTGCAGATGGTGTATGTGTCTGTACCTGGGGGTGTGCATGCCTCCACTGAAGACTGCACTAGAACAGACCGTCTCTTTGAGGGCATTGGCATCTTCCTCTCTTTGTACTTTGCCAAGGCTGCCTGGACTGCTTCTGTATGCAGGTCTGCAGGAACAAGCACACATACATAAAACATTGCACCACTTTCAGTTACCCACCGTTACTGACTGCTGTGCATGCAGCTATGAGGCCTGACATTACTATAGGAGGAAAGCCTCTCTTCAGCTCCATTGTTCTTCATTACTGTACTTGTTTGTCAAAATTACAATCACATTATTTTGTGTTGGAGGCCTGTGCCCAGTATGTTTATTCCAGTTACTGCGCAAACAGCCCCCAGTGAGGTCAAAAACTGACTGGTTTAAAAACCCATTGTTCATTTTTTCTATTCTCAAGACAATAACACTCCCATACGTGGACATAACTTAATATGTAAACATGTTGGCTGAACTGATATACTACATTAACACCACCTTTATTCCATCTAGCATTTTGCTGCTGTCGAAACAAAACCGTGCATCTCCATTTTTGTCGTTTTGTACTTTTTTACAGAATTTGAAAATACCAGCTGACCTTTACAATGTGCCAAAATTTCATGATGAATGGTTCAAACAGAAGTGCTCCAAAAGTACTTATATAAAATATAAAAATATAGTTCCATTATCTTCCATTCAATTTAAGAATGTTTTTTTCCTTCTCCTGTAAAGTTAACATTTTGGAGATACGAGGTTTTGTTCCGACAGCAGCGAATATTGTTCTTTAAATGCGGTTGTTGAGCTGAGCTGGTTGAACAGATATCACGCCTGTACAAAAAGCCATTTATATGGTACAGTGTACAATTTAGGACATCATCCTACATCTCAGCTCTCGTTCATCAGGCAAAATGAGACATTTCAAATGACTTCAGGTGAACTGGCTTCACAGAAGAAGATCTCAGCCAAGCTAAGTGACTAGATAATCTGCAATTCGGTTCTTTATTACAAGACTATTTACAGTTTTGTGGCCAAACTAAAGATGACACTTCACTACAACTACAACTTTTCCTGAACTGCACTTTTATAATGTTCTTTTTTTTTGACAAAGGGACAGGAGTGTTTAGGATGTTACATATTAACATCACACACACAGGCTCAAAAAGAAGGTCTTGTTTAGGTAGAATGTTCAGTCTCAAATTCTCAAAATCAACATTATACTGATGAAGATATGATGGCAATAGTAGATCTGTGGAAGATGCGTCCCTCACCAAGTTTTGACTGAGTCCTTTTTTAGTTCATTTTCAACGTGCTAAACATCAGCAACAAGATGGATGGGTACATTTTGAGGAATCATGAACAAGCTATTAAGAAGCCTAAAGACCCAAACAGAAGACTGGAATAACATTAAAAAAATATGGAAGAACACTATCCATATGGTCGCCAGGAAGCGGCATCCACTTGATGGCACATAATAATAATAATAATAATAATAATAATAATAATAATATAATTGTAATACACAGTTTTTTTTCCCATATTGTCAGTTATACACACTGTCATAGCTGAAGTGTTGAGGAGTGTGGAGTTTTCACCTGATCTGAAGCGCTCATCCCGTGAGTTAGCTGCCCGGGGTTTGTTGTGTTTGGAGGTGGGCGGGGCAGCCTGGGAGGTCGCCTGGATCCGGTGATCTACCTGTAGGGATGGATCCACACCTGCAGGACAGGAGAATGACACGGTCAACCCTCACACATGCTTCTGCATTCAGATGTAAAGATATGGAGATAAACAATGAGACAAACACAAACAGTCCTCTCCACTATGGCTGTGAGAAGACTGGCAAATTTGGTGGCTGTAGTTTAAAAGCTGTGGAAGGAGCACTGGCTCATATTTTGAGAGGTGAAGAAGAACAAGAAGAAGAAAAAAGATGGATGTGACACTCTGCTCCTCTGTACTACACAAACGTACCAGATAAGAACAGTTCACAGTGGTGGTGATAGGAACCAGACGTCTGAAGAGTTTACTGCCTCTAAAAGCTCCCTCACAGAAAAATTATTACAATAAAATAGTCATAAATACACAGCCTGATGCCCGAGACATTGTTCGACGATAGTTTTGAGAAGATTTTGGCCTTAAACTTGGATTATTATGTATATATTCACGGTGGAGGGATACATTCAGGGTGTTGTGAGGCAGAATGGTCCTCAAAGAAAACTTACATTTTATTAAAAAATCTATTTCAAACTCAGGAGACTCGTGTAGGTTCAGTGGTGGTTTTGGACAGTAAATAAAGTGTCTATATTTGTGTTGTAGTCATGGTGACCCCAGCAGCACTGCTGTGTCTGATCCACTCGCACCAGCGCAACACACACTAACAAACCACCACCAGCACGTCAGTGTCACTGCTGAAAATGATTCACCACCCAAATAATATCTGCTTAATGGGGGGTTCTGTGCGGGTCCTGACCACTGAAGAACAGGGAAACAGGGTAAATGTATGCAGAGAAACAGATGGACTACAGCCTGTAACTGTAGAACTACAAAGTGCTCATCTGTGGTCAGTGGAGCTGATAGAATGGACAATGAGTGTAGATACAAGGAGCTGTTTCTAATAAGGTGTACCAGTCAAACCCTGAATAAAATTATATGTCCTATCCACTATTATTTCCTGCCCAAGTATCCTGTTTGACCTGTAAATATATCACGTTAAAGCAGGAAATGCGTTCTGATTCTGATCTCTGATTCCTGTTGACTTTAATATAATGAACAGTATTATTAATTTTAAGAATACACTACTTTTTCACTCCATAGTCACTGAATTATCCGAGACTGGAGGTAATGTGGCGACAGTTCCCTCAGCTCAAACTCACACCTACACAGTGCACACTGGGGACCAGTTTAATGAGTGTTAATTTAACACTGATGATTTTATCATGAATATATATATATATATATATATATATATATATATATATATATATATATATCACACACACACACACACACACACACACACATTAGACTCTTAAATATACACACTTTCACAATGTACACATTAGTATACACACAGTATTGCACCATTCCAATATACAGTAAGGTTAGGTTTTGGGTTGAGGTTAAGGTTAGGATTAGGCCCAGAGTGAGGGTTAGGATTAGGTTTTGGGTTGAGGTTAAGTTTAGGGTTAGGATTAGGTTTTGGGTTGAGGTTAAGGTTAGGATTAGGCCCAGAGTGAGGGTTAGGATTAGGTTTTGGGTTGAGGTTAAGTTTAGGGTTAGGATTAGGTTTTGGGTTGAGGTTAGAGTCAGGATTAGGGCCAGGATGAGGATTAGGATTAGGGTTGAGGTTAAGGTTAGGGTTAGGATTAGGGCCAGGGTGAGGATTAGGATTAGGCTTTGAGTTGAGGTTAAGGTTAGGGTTAGAATTAGGCCCAGGGTGAGGGTTAGGATTAGGTTTTGGGTTGAGGTTAAGTTTAGGGTTTAGTTTCAGGGTTAGGATTAGGTTTTGGGTTGAGGTTAAGGTTAGGATTAGGGCCAGGGTGAGGGTTAGGTGTTGGGTAAGGTTGGTAAGGTTAGGTTTTGTGTAATGGAAGTAACATATTAACAACAAACATACTTAATGTAATGATGTATCAACAGAACATCAAAATAATGACTTCAGTGTATTCAGATGCTTCACTGCTGCTACTTCACTATGTTGTTGATGTGTTACTGATAATCTGTTAAGAGTTTATTAATCATCTACAAAGGACCACTCCAAATAAAGTGTTACCAGCCCTTTTGTTTTCAACCAAAACTTAACACTGAATAAAAGAGAATTTCTACAACATTTGCAACACTTACAATACTAAATACAACAAACCGGATGATCAGTAGTCACTGGCACACTGGTAGTCCAGACAAGAGTCTTTTGATGGGGAATTGATTTACGGGTTAGTGTGAGATCTGGAAATCACAATTAAAACTGTCCCAAAAAACCCAAACCCCTGAAACCAGACTCACCAGATTCAGGAAAAGGGAAAGTTTTAATGCAGCACATACACACACTAACCACAGAAACATTGAATCACTTCTCTCAAAGCAGACCAGAAACAGTCCAGACTGTGGGCAGCCTGCTGAGGATAATTTGGGGATGAAAGCTGGTACGGGTCACTTAAGCATCTCAAGCATCCTTCAGAGCAAACCTCAAATGACAGGGCGCTCAAGGTCAAGGCCGATCCTCAGACGCTTTCTAAATTTGGGAGGAATCTATCCCTTTCACCTTCTCCAAAAGGATGAAAAATGATGAGTCATGCCGTGGCGCAGTTATGTAATTCCTTACAGAGAGTCGAGGGCAGGATAGAAACCACACGCGCTACGTTTGATGTTTGCTAACCTGCGTCTGCTATACCGCCTACCAGGCCGAGCGAACGGGCCTATAAATACCTCCCTATCTAACGGGAAAGAGACGGATGAAAGATGAAAGTTAGATGATGAAACATGCAAAAAAGGTTGAATATAAGCAGCTGAGTCATGCTCGAAATGTCTCATCTGATCTAATTATAAAACTATGGCAGTATCTCCTCTTAAGGCTGCTGGAAACTGCAATAACAGCACAAAATAATGATAAAGATTCTCTGACCATCAGGCTACAATGCAGGAAAATGACCACAGTCTGCTCAGGCCATCCATCAGCTCCACTTTGTTCAGGTCATGAATATAGAAAAATGCTGTTGCACTAATAAAAGCAAACCCACGGCATAATAATGGGAATATAATGCCACCCAATTAACTCCATCTCCTGCAATCCATTCACAATGTTTGTGTTTGTCTCCTTTATTTGATTAAAATATGCCTGCATAGTAATTGGTGTCCACTTCGGTCAGTAAAATGGACCAGCATGTGGAACAGGAGCTTTCTGAGAGCCATCATGTTTCCTATCACTGTATAAAAGAAGCTCCATGCTGCCTTTATTGATGGATGCACTGTGAAAGCTCCTGAGTGAGCACTGACTATTGATCTGTTTCATCAAACAACTGAAGTGTGAAGTACTTCCCTCTTCATGTGCTCTCTTGATCTGAATGGTAGTTCGGGACAAAAAAATCTTGAGTTTTTAGCTTTGAAAGATCACATTCTCTACAAATAAATGCAGCTTTGAGAAATGATGATATTAAAGGAGTGGTGTAGATTATGAAGCAGAAACAGCTGCTTTCTGGTCTCAGCATTAAAACGTTAAAAAGGCAGATGAGAGTTTGGAGCTGTTCATGGCTGGAATGTCCACCCTCCAAATTCAGCTTTGAAAACTTGGTGGCATGTTTGCCTTTCACTTTTGTTTGTGCCGTCACCACTTAAACCCACTCGGACATGACGTGAGTGTGCTTCATGTCATTCTATTGGTGGATTTTCAGCCTTGCTGTTCTCCTATTGGTGGATTTTCAGCCATGCTGTTCTCCTGTTGGTGGATTTTCAGCCATGCTGTTCTCCTGTTGGTGGATTTTTACCCATGCTGTTCTCTTATAGGTGGCTTTATAGCTGTTCTGTTCTCCTATTGGTTAATTTCTCAGCCATTCTGTTATCCTATTAGTGGATTGTCACCACACTGTTCTTCTATTCATAGATTTTTAGTCATGCTGTTCTCCTATCGGTGGATTCTCAGCCAAGCTGTTCTCCTGTTAGTTGATTTTTAGCTGTGCTGTTCCTCTATTGGTTGATTTTCAGCCACGCTGTTCTCCTATTGGTGGATTTTCAGCCATGCTGTTCTCTTATTGCTGGATTTTCAGACATGCTGTTCTCCTATTGGTGGATTTTCAGCCATGCTGTTCTCCTATTGGTGGATTTTCAGCCACGGTGTTCTCCTGTTGGTGGATTTTTAGCTGTACTGTTCTCCTATTGGTGGATTTTCAGCCACGGTGTTCTCCTGTTGGTGGACTTTTAGCTGTGCTGTTCTCCTATTGGTTGATTCTTAGCTGTGCTGTTCTCCTATTTGTTGATTTTTAGCTTTGCTGTTCTCTTATTCGTGGGTTTCACTTGTGCTGTTCCATTTGGTAGATTTTTAAACATGTCATTCTCCAACGTGAACTTTGGCCATGTTCGGTCTCAGAGGCACTAAATCATCCACCACTGACCTGCGGCACATTAAGTGCTGTAACACCACAGATTTCAACTCATTACCAAAGAATATTTTCATCATTTTTGTCTTACTACGGCAAAATCATTGAGTGTATACCTGATTTAAGGTTTTTAGGTCCATATTCAGAATAAAATGCGGTCCTAACATTTGAGCTACATGTTTTACTAGAGAGCCAAACAAACTTCTCTCATGGCAACCACCCCTATCTGACCTCTGACCTCAAGTGCCCCGGTGAGTAAAATCCACTCAATAGGGTTCCGGTGGGCTGTGTTGTACAGACGGCCATTCATCACAGCCTGGCTCAACAGGGGGAGGAAGAGCTACTGGTTCTTCAAAGCACAAACTCACTGGACACTGGGGTCACATACTTATCCAGGGCTTACAAAAGACAAACAAACAGAGCAGTTTTTCAGCTGTAGATCATTAAGACATCCACTCAGCACTCAGTCTGATGGTTTAATCATGGTATTTGTCCGAACAAAGTTTGTAAAGGGTTTTATGGCCATGAAGATACAAAAAAGTGCTGTTCGCCTCAGAAAACTAAAAAAGTTAAATCGCTGTCCAAAGAAAAACAAGTAACTCCAAAATGGTAATTTTACAGGAGAGGGC